TGGAACAACTCCTAAGGCTACAACCTCTCTGCACTCGATAAAGATATTCTCAGTAGGGTCGCAAGGTGGATTCTGGTAGTTAGTTGGTGGGTGGATATCCAAAGAAGCGTCCAACTCATCCGGATCAGCACAAGAACTAGATTCACCTTCAGGGGGAGAACGGTCAATAAAGCCGTCTCTATACCTTTTAGTATACCGAAGGGCACTGGTTCTGGTGAAGCGGGCAAGGAGAGCTCTCATACCCCCTTCAATTTTGCCGATCATATTCAGCAAAGAAGAACGTTCACTTAAGAGCTTTTCCTTTGAGTTGGCATGAGATAACCGGTCAGCAATAAGTAAATGCTGAAGGCCTCCCTTCTCAGCCTTCAGTGAATCTCTTTCAGTCAGTGTAACGCTCTTCTCAGTCTTCAGAACATCAACTTCATCCTGAAGAAAGTCCCGTTCAGCCTTAAGGGTATCCCGTTCAGCTCTTAGGGCGTCCCTCTCATTTGCCAGATCGTCTTTCTCTGTTTTTAAGGCGGCAGCCCCTTTCTCTGACTCGCTTAGCTTAAACTCAAGCTCAGCAACTTTGACCTCAAGGCGGCTTTCTGCTTCAACAGATCTTTTAAGGCCTGCAGAGAGAGATTTGAGCTTCTTATTCAGAACCTTAATGGTCTTCCGGAAGGTAAACATCCCGAATAGGGTCTGCACAGAGGAAGGGAGATTCTGATCAATCTAGCCACTAAAGAGTTAAAGTAGAAAAGAGACATATCTCAATAAGAAGAAGAGTTACCTCCATGGCAGTTGCTAGGAACCGTTGAAACATCTCACCAAAGGACAACTTGTTCTGAATTTCAAGATCCTTGGGAGTCCAAGAACCCTTATAGAAAGCAAAGGAAGTGAGGGGGTCCTTGTACATAGAGTGTGTAGGGCCAATGGTCAAGCCATCTTCATGGCTGAGCAAAGGTCGCCATGGAAGAACGGATGATGTTGGACCAGAGGTTCTGGCAGATTCACCCTCTAAAATGAAAAACCGAGTTAGCGGCATGGGTTCAGTGATCCTGAAAGAAGCCAGCCTGTTCCTCCGGGCTAGTGGGATGTCACTCAGGTCATGGCCGCCCTCAGGCATTGGCCTTTTTCCAAAACTTTTCTCTGTCATACCAGCACTAACTGACCCTCCACCATTCTAAGAACCCCCAGCATTCTGAGTGCTCTCTAAAAAAGTGTCAGACAGATTGTTTGAAGGCACATTGATAGGAGCAGCATGATGGGCTTCAACAGAATGATCCACAGCAAGGTTCTCAGTATGGGAGAACTCAGAAGGCCCAACAGTAGAATGATCTATGACTTGACTCACAACTGGAGCAATCACAACCTGTTTTGGGGCTGAGACAGCAGAGGTAGATGATGTGGTAGCAGGTGTAGAGGAAGATATGGTAACAGGAGCTGCAGAGGGAATTGGAGCAGAACGCCTCCTCCTTCTGAAAAATGGAATCTGAATGCTCTCCATTGTGGACCCTAAGAGAGAAATGTCAGAGAGATTGTTAGGAGTAAGCAAATCTGTACCTGAAGGGACGTTGTTCAGCACACTCTTTTGTAAGATGTCTAGCCTGGCCCTGCAAACGCTATAAACCAGTTCATCGTGAGGAATTTGAAGGCATCTACAAAGAAAAGTACAAAAACGGGGAAGGCAACTTTCACAATGACATTCAGTGGGATGTGTTTTCAATTTTTTGTAGCCAGAGACAGAGCATACTCCGAAGGAGGAAGGGATAGAGAAAGATTGGCCGAACGGAGTCCGTCAATTCCCACTAACCCCAATCAAGTTTTGTCTCCAACTTTTTTCAAACGAGTTCTTATCTATGTAGATCGACCGTTTGTCAATAGGAAAGAAGTGATAGTACAGATCACTTTGTTTGATTTTGTTAATTTGGTAGTAGAGGAGAAGGTCGATGATGTCAAAGTTGAGACCCCTGTCACGATTTAAGAGCAGAAGGACTGAAATTATCCTAAGGAAATTAGGGTTAACCTGCAGAGGGCACAACCCCAATTTGTTGAAAACGTAGCAAAAGAATGGGTGTAGGGGGAACCTAATGACGTTTAAATGGACAGCAGAGAATAAAACCTCCCCAGGAAGGAGACCCTCACCAGATCTCCCATCTAAGTCTGTTGGATAGATCCTGAGAGAGACATCATTGGGAATGTTATTCTTGAAGCGAATGGCGTTCAGATTTGGAGGAACCATGGAGAAAGGGAAGAATCTATGGTAGTAAAGGATTCTTTTTCAAAAAGGATAGTAAAAAAAAACTGACCTTGAGAGTTTGTGAAGTACACAGCAACGGCACAGTAGCCAAAATCGCGAAGGAAAAACTTGTCGGAGAAACTGAAGAAAGATCGCCGGAAAGTGCAGGAAGGTGACGGACGAAACTCAGGAAGATGACAACAGGGAATAAAAGTAGGATATGTTAAAGGAAGATAAAGGTTGAGAGGATCAGGATTTTTAAAGAGAAGAAATGGAGGCGGCACAGAATTCAAAAGGTCAAGGCAAAAGTGACACAGCAGATCTCGAAGTTTGGGTCTTTGTGCCAGCCGTTCGATTCCTCGTGTCATCGCTCCGAGCCGTCAGACCAAGATTGCGTCTTTTCAATAATCTCACCCTAATTAATGAAGGGAGAGATTATTAGGGGCAAATGAAGACACCAAAAATGATCCGGGCTTGGTATGATTCGTATTGCTAATAACGGGTCAGGTATGGATAGTCAGGATGGAGCAAGCCCATGCTGAATAGGCCCAGATCCAAGAAGTCATTACGGAAGCCGATGTTATGATGAAAGAAGTCGAGCCCAGACAAAAGAGAATAAGTTAGGTCCAGCCCAAGGGTGGTTATAACCGTCTATAAATAGAGGGGATTGAGAGGGAAAAGAGGTTGAAGATGATTGGGGGTGTAAAGTTTCTCTCTCTACAATTAGGAAAAAATTCTTTGTACTTTCATATACACACAAAATTGAACAATGGTCTTTAGTATAATAACAAAAAGATTAAAATCAAACCAATATAAGTGCAGTATTAAAATTGCAGATAACTCTTTAGCTTACATGATTGGATGGACGGTGGGCTTGAAAAGGAATGTAACAAAAGGCCAACAATGGAGCACAATTTGAAACCTTATCTCCAACATCATCCCCCTAACCCCATCATCCTCCCTTAGTAGAATCAAATACCCATCGTGCCAAATCATTGGTGGGTCCCCTTGCCTACCTTGCCCACCTCAGATTTGTGTGTCCACTTGTCTGCTCTCTTTGCTTGACACGCGGCCATCATGGTCCAAAAAATAATACTAAATAATAATTTTTCCACCTAACAGTAAGAAATTCCTATTCTTGAATGAAGCCCGTGAAACTTTTCACTTCTCTATTAGATTACTAGATTTAAATAGTATATATATATGATCCATTAATAATGGTATTCGTTGTGTGTGTGTATATATATTTATTTATATATATATTTTGTCCATGGTGTCAAAATCAATCTCTATCTATTCATCTTAGAAAACTTGTCAATGAAGTAACGAATATAATCATATCTTAAAGCTCCTTAAACAACTTTTTTAAGGTCTAATGATCTCAGCTCGTGTACTTTTTATCTTAACGACCTGTGGAGAATTTTTTTTTTTTTTTTTTAAGAAAAATCACAAACAAGACAGTTTAAAGTGTATTAACATGTATAATCAACTTGAACTTATAGATAAGGATGGGATTGATTAGTGGGTGCATTAGCCGTACCAAATGGTGCATCCTATTCCATTTATCGCTTATATATATATATATATATTAGGTAAGCAAGATAATTAGCATAATTTACCAAAAAAAAAGAGAAGATAATTAGCACATATAACAGTTCAGAAATTGGTTTAGATTTCTGAAAATTGTTCACTATTAGTATATTACTAGAGTTAAAAGAGTCACGGATCTTAAAATTCCTCAAAAACTGTAATATGAAAACACTAAACAGGCCCATAATTTTTTTTTCTTCAATAACACACTATATTATTTGTTTTTGGGTAAGTAATATCACACACACACACACTATATATAAATTTTTTTTGAGTAAAAAACACACACTATATATTGTTATAACCACAGTTTACAAACCTGTTGTGAAGCTTATGTTGTACATCAAAGGTAGAAATTATAGCAATCTCTTTTGCTTTCTTGTTTTCTTGCTTTCTTTGCTTATCATCGGACAACCTTGTCATATGTAATGATTTGCGGGACATGCAACATCAATAGTCTAAAGCTTCTTAAAAATAGGCTAGCAAAAAAATTTGTCAAGGGTAGGGTTATTATTAATATTATTATTCTTTTACCTTCATTTCATCTGATGGACTGAACCAAATTTATGGTTTACAGAATTTAAACATATTATTATTTTTCACTTTCAAAACATCTAAATTTGATGGGTCAACATAATAGTAGCTCCAAATTTTTTCAGTGATCATTTTAAAAGCAATATACTTAATCTTTTATGTACATTTATAAGAGAAAAATTGTATCTCTGTAAGATTGCATATATTTGACCGTTCCTAAACTCTGCAATAACAATCTAGATTGGGTATATTAAAATGATCATATATATATATATATATATATATATATAAATAAATTCATCTACAAAATGTATACCCCCAGCAAAATGTCCCTCTTAAAATACCTAGAAATGGATACAAATACATATATTTCAAAAAGCAATCTCTACAAGAGTTTACAAATGCATACAAAAGTTGTTAGCATAAACTACACACAAGAAAAGGTTGCCGTGTCATGTCCTTGGACTATTCATGTGTTGTTCAATTTCAAAGGAAAAAAGCGAAAAAGAAAAGGCAGAAGTCTCGAATCATTCTCTACATATGTTCTATTCTGAGCACACCCTATGCTATTATATACATGCATGTATTTATATATATATATATATATAGAGAGAGAGAGAGAGAGAGATTGGTCAACCTTGGAAGACAAAGAGAGATGGGGATTTTCATTAATTGTTCAATAGTCTAGGTTCATTTTCTCTACTCATTCCATCTTTTGATTAATAATCAGCCCCTCCAGAAGACTTCTCTCACTCTCTTTTTCTCCTCCATTTATTTCAACAAAATACCAGCTTGATCACATATCTCAGAACTCAATCCTAATTCTGTTTATGATCACTAGTACGTAGCTCAATTCACACAATGGGTTATGAGGATGTCTATAATATTAACACAGGCCTTAGTCTTGGCTTAGGCCTTCTTGACAAGCCAGAGATTGAATTTGATCAACCTCACCATCATCAAGGGAAGAAGAACCTATCTTTGAAATTCGATCACTTCCCATTTCTCACCTTAGGCTTACCATGTGAAAAAGCTATACAGATTGAAGCCACCAAAGTGGATGGTGTATCACGTACTGTTGTGTATCGGCAGGCCTCTTCGCTGAGTGAAGTATCATCATATTCTAACTCTAGTACTGTGAAGGAGAGAGAACTTAGCCAAGAAGATAGAGAAACAGAGAAAGTACTCTCTTCAAGGGCAAGTGAAGATATTCAAGATGATCAAGAGGGTTGTGCAAGGAAGAAACTTAGACTTACCAAAGAGCAGTCTAATATTTTAGAAGACGGCTTCAAAAAACATAGCAGTCTCAATCATGTACCCCATCTATCTCAATTTTTATCTCTATTACTCTATATTATCCAACTACTATATATATATATATCTGAATCTGGTTTCTTTGTTTTTGAATTATCAGAAGCAAAAACAGGCCTTAGCAAAAAATCTGAATCTACGGCCACGACAAGTAGAAGTTTGGTTCCAGAACAGGAGAGCCAGGTATCCCTACTATTCATTTTTTGTAACCCTTTTAAGAGTGTGTGATTTGTGATGGGAAGTGTAGAGCCTGATAGTACTGCATACCTTACCATGTGTTCACAGATCCAGCTAGGGGCATTTTGGTATTTTCATATTTGTTGTTCATCCCTAGTTCTGTAGGTATAATGGGAGACAGTTTTTATCATTTTGAACTCTGAAATTTGTTTTACTCTTCACAATTCCGTGGGCGTAATCCTAGTTTTGGGTGAATAAAATAAATATGCATTTTTTTATATATTATATATTTGTATCGGCTTTTTTGTTAATTTTTGCAACAATCTGAGTAATTATATGAAGATGTGGGCATTGATTTTTTTTTTTTTTTTTTTAACAATGAAAACAGGACTAAGCTAAAGCAAACTGAAGTGGACTGTGAGTTATTGAAGAAGTGTTGTGAGGCACTAACAGATGAGAACAGAAGACTACAAAAGGAGCTGCAAGAGCTGAGAAGGCTGAAACTAAGCGTGCCGTGCTATATGCAACTGCCGGCAGCCATGCTCACAATGTGCCCCCAGTGTGAGAGGATTGGTGGTGGTGGTGGTGGTGGTGAAAACTCTTCAAAAACTCCTTTCCCAATTGGGACAAGGTCTCATTTCTATAATCCCTTCAACCATCCATCTGCAGCTTGCTAGGCACTACTCAGCTCACTTTGTCACTTTTTATTAATCTAAAAAACTTAAACGGTTAGAGATGGTGTAATTTAAACACTTATATCAATTTAACACTGCTTTGTTAAATTTTATTTTATTTTATTTATTTATTTTTTTTTCTGAATGGGGTGTTTTTTTTTTATAAATATTCAAAATAATACAATTACAATAGTAGACTAATCTCCAAAACCTGAAAAAGGAATTGACATTCCAATACCAGCAAGCATCCTATCTCAAAAGAAGAACATTACAAACCAAATACAATCAAAAGATTTGCTAAACTAATATTTAGATATGTGGTTACATCCCAAATAATAGCCTGCACTATATGTGAGCTCTGTTCTTGTATTCCTGTATGAAGCATAGCATTCCTGCTTGACCATATCTTCCAAAGAGTAACTGAAAAATACCATTTAAGATCTTAGATTTGAAAGACTTGGACACAGTATTCTGCAAAAACCAGTCCACAATGTGATTCAGACTAGAAAACTTTTGAACCTGAATATGTAGCAAATCAAAAATCCCTCTCCAAATCTCTGAAGCAAATCCACAATGACGGAACAAATGGTCATTTGAATCTTCCCCAGCAAAACAATTGTGACAAATAGATGTAACTTGCAGCCCTTTTAATTTTCTGTAAATTCACAAAAGACAAATTTTTATTATGTAAAATGATAACAACACAAATACTGATCCGAGGTCTAGATTTTTTCCAACACAATCTGGCCCATTTGCACCTATTTCTAGTAGCTCTGCAACTATTTTATTCTGCCTTTAGTGAGAAATTCCCATGTTTCCACTTAATTTGATCACTTCCTGCATGAATATCTGTCTGCTGAACAGCATTCTTCATGTTATCAGAAAAAACTGCAGGTAAGTTCCAATTCCCTTGTTGTATTAGCATAGACATATTAATCTGTCTATCAAAACCTTTGAACCTATTAGCCCTAAACAACTGAATTAGAGACTGTTCTTGACACCAAGGGTCTGTCAACATCTTGAACTGTGTACCATCCCCAACCTGAAATTTGACATTGTCTAACAGCATTTCTCTGTCTCCCAAAATGAATTTCCAAACAGCTGAATCATTCACCTTAGGAAAAACAAGCCAAAAAAATTTCTTATTCAAGTACATTGCGCGCTTTCAACCATTGTATCCAAAGTTTATCTTTTTGCTGAATAAAATCCTAACACATGGTTAACTTTGTTGCAAAGTCAATATCTTTCATCCTTCTGACATTGAAACCACCCTCGATCTTCTACAGGAAGAGTAACTTGACTCCACTTAAGCTGAGCCATTTTCTTGGTGTTTTGTTTGTGAGATATATTTTTGTAAATTGGCATATCAGTAACAAAACAAATCCTAGTCGAGTTGTAATTTCAGTTATCATATCAGACTTGACATCGACTGCGGCATTCAGAGGTTGAACGGAAGAGAAAAGTACTGTTGATCATTGAAAAGGAAAGAAGGACGATTTAGATATTGTTTCCCACTTATGACACAAATACCTACATGGTATATGTTCAGAGTTACCAAAATACAGAAAATCCAAGTTTCAATTAGATTCTGTCTAGTGGGAACCGGTAGGAAAAATGTGAACCAGTAGCCAAAGTACGTCGGAAAGGCTTCTGACCTTCTTGAACCGATAGCAAATTTGGGAACCAATAGCAAAAGTCCATCTTGAACCGGTAGCAAATTTGGGAACTGATAACAAGAGTCCTGACAACATTAGAATTTTCAATTTCATGTTCTAATTGTTTCCTTTTTTATCCAACCTTCCTTCTAAGTCCTATGCACAAAATTTCCTTTATTTTCAAGAGGAATAGGACTTTGCAAACCTCTATATAAACCATGTCATATACATTGGTTTATTCACGGCTTTTGTTATACAGATTCATTATTTTTAAAAACCTTAAGAAGTTTATTTCTCTCAGAAAATCAAAGTTGATTTTTCTATAGTCTTCCTAGAACATACACATATTCACCTAGTTAGGTTAGAGTTGTGGAGTTCAAATCCTAATCGTGATCATACAGTCGTATCAACATCGATCAGACGAAGCAGATCTTCTTCTACATCATTTAGATTGAAGAATAGAAATAAACGCAATCACACTTTAGAGGGGTTGGAGCATTCGCGGAGTGCTGTCTAATCTACCTGCTACGCTTCTACAAATATCAAGTGTAAGTCTGAGGTCAAGTTGCTGTTGGATGGGGAGTCGTAAAGCCAGAGGATCATCAGCGGTTGGTGTGGTGTAGAATGATAGGGTGTGAGCCAGAGTCAAAATTCGGTATACTTTGTTCCAAGCATAATAGATTGGTTTACTTTGGACTGCACAACTTCATGAGGTTTTTCCCATAATAGTTGACGTATTTTATCAATTGGGGTTTCCTCGCTAAATTCTGGTGTTATCTCTAACTTTATACCTTACTTTATTTTATCTGCATGTGATTAACTGTTTAATTGCTAATCAACCCCTCGATTCTAGAGCCACGGGTGATCAAGTCCGAGCACAGATCCGAGGGATATCAGACAATTAATATGTAAACAAGTAGGAATAAAATATGAATTAAGAATAAAATAACAAAACGCTGAAAGAATTCTAAAATAAAAATCCTCAACTTAAAATAATAAATTAATAACATTTAAATCCGTACAACTCGGGAATCCACCTGGTGGACCCCTAAATACATATCTTTAGATAAATTTACAGAATTAAAATCCAAAACCATAATAGGAAGGAAATCCTATGTAACCGGTAGAGTGAGTGTCTGTATCTGCATCAACACGATCAAACTCTAAGCTGGAACTGGCGAATACCTGAAAAATAGGAGTGGGTCAGGCCCACATGCAAGTTCCAATCTACTACAATCCGTACATAAACCCGATACGCAGATACATCCTAGATAGCTCGGCAATATCTACAATAGTCCATATATATATATACACACACTATAGGATGCTCACTAGCCTATAACATAGTTCAGCCTGGGTAGAAGGTGACATATAAAACACGCTTTTCAGCAGCCAAGTACCTAGACCTACCAGGGAACATTAGCTATATCTAGTTACTCAACCTTTGCAATATACGCATCCTAACCGTGATCAGGAGACTCAAGCTCGTATCACGGTACCATAAATATATATATAAATTCCTTCCTACATGCAGAAAGATAAAACAAACATCCGTTATGTCGTTCAACTGTTTTAGTTGACAGGACATGTATCCATGTAGGAGTTAACTATTTTAGTTAATCCATTCCGTATGTATGAAGGGGTAGGACTTAGCTTTTTGATCTAATCCATCCCTGATATGTCACCGTCCCATACCGGTACATATAATGCAAATGATCCACAAATGATGCACATTCATTAGAACATCAAACATATCCAGAAACCAGCATAATAGAAATAAGATATTACTAAGATCCTATCATGCATCCAGTATATGATTAAACCATAAATCCTTCCTTTAAATTGATAAAGTAATGATAAACAACTTAAATTATCCAATTCCATACAATTGATCGAACATAAATTTTAACAGTTCATCAACTAACATCCATAGCACAATATAATGACAAATAGAGTTATTACTGTGCACATTATACTAGACTGCCAAAAATACCTCCATACTAGTCCAGTTCGTTTGCTAAAACAAAACTAATAATCACAACCTATATCATCCTTGACAGCATGCCAAGTAATGCTTAAATTACCTGATGTCCCTTTAATCCTCACTATAGATCATGTGTCTGATATAACGACACTCGGAAATTTACCCGAAGTACATCTTATGAAACCCCAAAAGTATTCCCATACAAGTCCATTTAGTTCGCTAAAATAAAGCTAGCAACTAAAACTCCTACAACTCCTGTCGGCATGCAACCTATCAATTAAAATTACATGACGACCTTAACCATAGCATAAACAACCCTCTTGGAACTGAAACATGTCATTTATATCATTGGTACCAATTCCTAACACTTACCTTTTATAGCAGTTCATTTAATTTGCTAGCCAACCAACGATTCCAGTTCTCCTTCCTTCTTGACAGTATTGAACATTCTTATTTTAACATTTATGTTGTCCATTCCCATGACCTGAATCAATACATCTTGGGTCTTAAACATCCTCTGTACACCATTTAAGAACCCCCATGAAACTCCAAAATTACCCTTTTACCCCTGAAGTATCAAAAATCACCAGAAAGACCCCCGGAGGGGTTTCTGTTCAAAGGAGCCGGCTCCCCCCCATGGGAGCCGGCTCTTCATCTTCCAGAGCCGGCTCTCCCTCATGGAGAGCCGGCTCTACCTTCTTGGGAGCCGGCTCCCTCATTTAGGGAGCCGGCTCTCTTCCCCTGAGAGCCGTCTCTGCTCCATTCCTTCGTCTCTGCTTCGTCCGGTTGCCGTCTATGCTTCCGGCGAAGTCCAGTGTTCTATTCCAGACCTTTTTAAGATTTTTAAGGTTCCATTAATGCTCTTAATTCCCTAGAGACTCCTCCTATCCCAATGTGAACCAATTGACAAACAAAACTTAAACTACACACACAGTTTATGCAATAATAAGTTTAAACTTAAAACGCAGAACAGATTTCAGAAAACACCAAGCATGAATAAAGTCTATTTTTAAAAGTTTTTTTTTTAAGTTCCTGGAGTCTATATAAGATGCACAGAACACAAGTTTACAGGAGAGGAATAGACTGAAACTTGCCTCACGATTCCAGTTTGAAACCTTAAGCGTCGTCTCTAAGTTTCAGAATTCTCCAAGTCTGTTTCCCCTCTGCTCTGCTCACAGTCCCCTCCCTCTATTGCTTCTTGGTTCCATCCAGAAGCAACCCCTCTGTTCTTCCTCTAGTCTTCCTCCTTTAGCCTCACAGAAAATCACCCGAGACCCTCTATGTTTCTCTCAAGACCAGTCTAGAGCCTCTGTTTTCCTTCTCATAAATATTACGTGAGTAGGATTGTTCCCAACCCTAGCAGACTTAAAAGAAAAATATATATAGACGTCCCAAACCCTAATCTACGTAACTCTATATTTACCGGGTTTAATCTAAAACCTAATATAAGTCTGCGTCCATACTATATAAAAAATAAAACCCTAATCCTATATCATATACAAGACCAAATAAAACAATTAATTTAGACAACTAAATAATTAAAATTAAACAATTACTTTAAAACAAATACACTATTAAAATTAAACAATTACTTTAAAACAAATAAACAAGTAACTTAGAATCAAGAATAAATACACAATTAATTTAAAATAAAG